AGAGAGGAAGGGAGGAGAGAGAGATAGAAACATCAATGATGAGAGAGAATCATTGATCAGCTGCCTCCTGCACGCCCCCCACTGGGGATTGAGCCCGCAACCCAGGCATGTGCCCTTGGCCGGAATCGAACCCGGGACCCTTCAACCCGCAGGCCGACGCTCTATCCACTGAGCCAAACCGGTCAGGGCCATTTTCTTTTTAAAGAAGGCATAAGCAGGCAAGGCGCTTAAAGCTGGCCTGATCAAGCCTGAGGGGACAAGGTGGCGGAGACAAAATACAGAATAAGGAGTCAATGAGGCATCAAGACTCAAGCTGAGTCTGTGGAAAAGCAGCAGTTCTCCCATGGGTGGGACTCACATCGATGCGGAGGGTAATTTTGGACACATCAGCACTGCGTCCTGGGCCTGGGCCCTGTCTTCCGGGCATTTGGGACTCTGCCCTGGCGGGTGCTGCCCTGGGCATGCCTGGCCCCTCTGTGCGGTGGGCATCGATCCTCCACGGATGCTGCTATGGAGGACAGGTTCGCTGTCCGGTGGCAGAGACATCGGCCATCTTTGGAGGCATCACGGCGGGACTTCATAACGGAAATCTTCAACTTCCCACAAGCCTCTGCGTGGTGGGAAGTGAACGTGCAGCCGCAGGCCCTCCTGATGAGACTTGCTGGAGGGTTGGGTTTTGCTGGAACTCAAACTCCTCCGCTGAGGGGAGCTCTGGTCTTCAGGGCGGGGGGGGGCGCAGTCTATCATTTTTAAGGTGCATCTTACGCAAGTGCCCAGTTCTGGGGCCCAGCAGTCGTCTACTGCTCCTTCTCTGTCTGATCTCAGGGTTCACAGGTTGAGAAGCCCCTGTGGAGAATCCATCTCAGAATATCAAGCGGACAGAAGCATACGAGGGATGGAGGATAGGGAAGGAATACTCTGAAAGCCCAGAAATTAGAAGAAAGAAATATAGAAACAGAGGCAGACAGGGAGAGAGGGAGAGAGTTCAAGAGATGACCTAAACATTAAAGTGATGAACTCGGACTTTGTTAAGGTCCAACGTCAGGGCCATGAATTCAACTTACAGGGTTACTTGGAGGAGATGTATCTATTTATGCACAAGCACATTCATGCTTGTAAACGCTGCTATGTCCCACACACTGTGTGTGAAACGTGATGAGGCCCAGCCCCCTGGCTGAGCGACGCCACTCCAGCCACTCCGTTCTCCCAGCGTCAGCCTGTGTTCTCTGCTGTGTGAGGCTCCCTGTGGCCAGGCCGGAGATGCTGGGGTATTGGGCTTCTCAGGCCTGACCGTGTGCATCGCCCCTTCTCTCCAGACCCCAGTCCGGTGCCCTCGTCCACCAGCACCTACCACGCCATCATTGGCGGGATCGTGGCGTTCATTGTCTTTCTGCTGCTCATCCTGTTCATCTTCATCGGCCACTACTTGATTCGGCACAAAGGTCAGCTGTGAGGGGAGGATGAGGAGAGGTGGGCGTGGGGAGGGAGGCGGGTCGGCACCCGAGGCCGGTGGGAGCTGGCTGCAGGGAGGGCCTTCGGGGGCCCGGCAGCCCCTCCGGGGTCTGAGGAGGAAGAACGCAGGCACCTCGGTAGTGATGGAGCCCCCAGGCCCCTCAGTGCAGCCTCGCTGCTTTTTCATCATCCACAGAATCCAACCTCCACTCAGCCAGCTGCTGCTCCCACGCTGCTCCGCCGCCAGGGCTCTCGCCTTCAGCAGGGAACGGCACAGCTCTGCCTCTTCTTGCCATCTCTTGACACTTCCCTGCCTTTCTGTCTGGCCTCATGTTCCCTGACCTTTGACCTCCTTGCCCCTGGTCTCCACAACGTCTCGTTTCTTTCTTCCTCTCTCCTGCCATCTCGCTACCCTCTCTTCACGTGCCTTCCTCTCAGATGTTCCCCTAATAACTTCTAGCTGCAGCCAGACTACCCGACTGATCAGGTGCTGGCCAGCTCTCTGCTGCATTGCACAAGGAGCCGACATGCCAATTTCCCTAGCACCACCTTACACACACATGCACACATGTAAATATGTGCGCGCACATGCATGCATATCTACACACGGGCATGCAGACACACCAGATGTACACAGAGAGACACATATGTCATATGTGCACATATACACACGCATGTGCATGCATGTATACACACAGACACACATACAGGCACAAGCACATCTGCACACACACGCTGTTATTTTGTTGCCACTATTATTGAGATTCTCTATTTAAAGGCAGCACTCATGAATTCATAGGGGTGTGGTCGGGTGAGGGGTGTTGGCAGCAAAGTGCACGTCGGGTCTGATGGGAGGAATGAAGCTCTGACCAGGAGCAGGCGTGGATGGGCAGGTGGGAGGGTGGGCCGGGGGCGTCAGAGGTTTGGAAGCTGCTCCTGGAAGAGGAGCCTCTGTGCCTCCCCAGGAACCTACCTGACACACGAAGCGAAAGGCTCTGACGACGCGCCAGACGCGGACACGGCCATCATCAACGCGGAAGGCGGGCAGTCGGGCGGGGATGACAAGAAGGAGTATTTCATCTAGGGGCCCGCTCCCCTGCGCCCCTGCAGGGGCCCCACGGGCACTTCTGGGGCCGTAACCACCTCGGACTTGTACAGAGCAACCCCGGGGCCGCCCTCCCGCTTGCTCCCCAGCCCCCACCCCTGTACAGAATGTCTGCTTTGGGTGCGGTTTTGTACTCGGTTTGGAATGGGGAGGGAGGGGGGGGAGGGAGGGCTGCCCTCGGCCCTTTCCTTGGCTTCTCTGCATTTGGGTTATTATTATTTTTGTAACAATCCCAAATCAAACCTGTCTCCAGGCTGGGGGGGGCGGGCCCGGGGCGAGAGGAGCAAAGCCCCTGGAGCTGGAGGAGGAGGAGGAGGGGGAAGAGGTCAGGACAGGACAGGAGCAGGGCTGGTGTATGGGGGGGCAGGGGAGGGGGGCTCGCACCAGCCCTCCGTCCTCTGCTCAGAGCAGCTGCTGCCTGGACTTCTCTGGGACGAGGAGGTTGTGAGCAGAGCCGGAGAGGGACAGACAGTGCCTCCCTGCTCCCCCTGTTCCACGTCCCTGGAAAAGGAACGAATGGGGTTCAGAGGAGGGGACCTGCAGATGGCCAGGGCGTCCACATGGGGAGGACGTGGTCCCCGCCAGGAGGGATGGATTTGGAGAGACAGGATGTCGAGATGGCCCACCTACCCTTGTCCCCCGTGATGTATGAAGCCAGGCCCTTTACACAGGAGCTGCCCTTGGGGGTCGCAGGGCAAGGCGGCCCCTCGTTGCTCCAGCAGCCGTGGAGAGGCCACTGTCTGCTCCCCTGCCCAGGGGCCCTCACTCACCCAGCCCTGGACTGTTGCTGGGCAACCACTCCTCTTATGGCATTGTTTACCAACTCCTCCTCCTGCCCCGTGGCCCTGCCCCTCCAAGTCCTATGCTGTCCCTCAGTCCTTCCCCCCTTCCCAGCAGCCAGGCAGATATAACTACAAAAACACTAAAAGGAGCTTTGCTGCACTGAGCTGTTTCCTGCCCAAACAAAGCAGATAATGTGAACTTTGTGAGTGTGTGGACGTGTGTGTTGTGTGCACATCTGTGTGTGAGAGAGGCAGCCAGCGGTCCTGGCAGGTGGCGGCCGTGGAACCCGTGAAGGAGGGCCTTCGAGGAGAGGCCTCCTAGCCAGCGGGGGGCCTCCCCGGGAGGTGGTTTCATCCTGGCATCTCCATGCCACTCCCAGGGCCCATCAGTCATGGAGAAAGCAGTCCCGGGATGTGTCCGTGCTCAGTTGTCCATCGAGTCTCGCCCTAAAACACGGAGCATCAGACCTCCGCCCCGGCCACCCTGCTATGCACCCTCGGCCTCTCCCTGGCCCCGACCCTAGACGACCACTGGCACTTCTGGGCCCGGTGAGCTGAGGGCTGGAGAGAAACTTCCCTTCCTCCCACCCCCACCCCTCCTTTTGATTTTCTGTCTTCCTCCGTGGCCTGAGCTGGTTGCCATAGAGATGAGTTGCTCAGGCTCCCTTCCCAGCCAGCAGCCCTGCCTCAGACCCAGGATGCCCCTGGGCACCACTGTCACCCTCGTCCGGCATGTCCTCCCTGCTGACACCCAGGGGTGTGCACAGGGGGGGCCGCTGCACCCGCAGGCCTGCCCACCCCCCAGTGCAGGTAACACCGTGGCTTTTCCAGCAGCTGGTGGGGGCCCTGGGCGCACAGCAGCCCCCCAAGCCAAGGCTCTCCCCTCGCAGCAGCGGGCAGCCCGCGCCCCAGCCCCGGGCTCCTGTCTCCTAGCACCCGCTCCGGGGAAGTTGACTTTGCCTCTTTGAGCGGAATCACTCTGTCCATATTACACAGAAGCCATATTTGTACCGGGAGTTGGGGAAGAGGGACCATTGTGTTTGTGTGTCTGTCTCGGGTGGGGGTGGGGCCGGGCGCAGGGAGGGGACCGTATATCTTTATAACCTTTCTAACTCTCCTATGCTAATCTCAGAGGGGCACCCTCAATATATCGGATCACCGTGTCGCTCGCTCGGCTGCCTCCTTCTTGCCGCTCTCGCTCCCGTGGGGATGCGTGTCTAAGGGCTGCTCGCTGGCATCCCCTGCGCCTGGTATTTGCAGGGGTGGCGTGGGCCTCGCCGGGCCCTCTCCCAAGGGCATCTCTGTACGGAAACAATACAACTCTCCGAGGGAGAGAAGTGTGTTCACTCCCGTTGGCTGGGTCCTTGCTTTCCTGAGTGTCTGGGGCGGAGCATCCGACGGCTCCCCCTGCCTTCCCCCAGGCAGGATGGGAGGAGGTGGGGGTGAAGGTGAAGATGCCACCGACATCATTCCAGGACGGTTTCAACAGGTCCCCCAACTCGTTTTCCACCACCGCGC